CACTCTGAGGAAGAGCTGTACTTTAGTTTAAAGATCAAGCTGAGGGATAACAAATAAAGTATTTGTTTTTAGAAAACAGCAAGAATTAATTCAAAAACTACTAGATGTACATGAAATAGGCTATTCACAACATAATGTGACCATCAAGGACTAGTGTTAGGTCATCATGCCACTGATCAAATCTAAGGGCCATGTCAGCTTATTGTGCTCGTCCAGCAAATAATTAAAACAATGATGATGAGTCCAGGGCAAAGACTGCTGTCTCTTTGTTGACTTTAGAAGGTGATAATAAAGTGGGAGCTGGTCTGCTCAAAAGTAGGGGCAAAATAAAGATTTAGCAAAAACAACAGAAAGTATTCACTAACCTACTAGGAAGGAGTTCAATATTAATTACATAAACAGTTAATCTAGTTTAGAAATAGATAGATAACACAAGGTAGAGAATTTTTCATAACTTCAAAGAACTAGATTCTTTAACTATTCAGTTAATTTAACATCTTCATAAAAAGTAACTCATCACAAAGTAGACGTTAATGATATCATGAACACAAAATCAAGTCTAGGTAACTTCAACCATGAATGGGGAGATTTGTTTATAAGACTCATTTGTTAGGAAAGTTCCAAAGTTATGAATGGACTAAACACACAGTTCGTGTAGAAGTCTGACCTTTAAGAAGTTCAATGTCATATGATAACAGCAAACTAGATAACCCATTGTATCTAGAAATCTCAGATGGATAATGTTTATAAAGATATTGGATAGTCTCTAATGGATAATGTCTAAGAATCTGTTCAAAATGCCGATTCTGAATTCAACAGGTACTGCACACCAGATTACTTCCACCTGGGTGCGATTGTCATCCGCTGCACTCCTTTGTCTTGACTTTGAACATCAGAAACGAAGATTTTAAACAAAAATAAGGAGATAAAATACAATTTGACAATAGTCATTAGTTTTAGTTGGTCTGGGATTACTGTTTTGACCAAAATTTACACTCTTGTAACCTTTAATAATTTGCAAATAATTCACTACATGTCCACCTCAGTGGACAGCGTGTATTCTGAACATGAAATATGTTGGCTGGACTTGCTGAAGTCCACATAGAGGGGCTCAAATGCAATACATTCTTCAGCAGCTGTGCTCAACAGAAAAAACAAATAACAATTATGAGAATCTGTCCAAATTATATTTTTCATTTTTATTTTCTAGCTGTTCCCTTCAGGCTGCAATTGACCTTGGCAGCTCAGACTCTGAGCACAGCTGCGGTTGTTTTGATTCTTTAGGCAGGCCTTGCCTCCTCTCTGTTTCACATTTTCAACCTTTTTTTCTCTCCACCGCTCTGTGCTTCCTCGTAAGCATAATACATTTGTGACACGTCAGTGGTTATCAAAATCATGTTTTCCATCAACCCTCTGATAATTTTTCAGACCATTTCCACATTTCCTGGATCAATGTGCAATATTTACTCAAAAGGTATTTTGTGAGTTCTTATTTCCCCCATACATAGGTACCACACGTGCAAAGCAATCCATACACTCTCTCATTCATCCAAACAACAATTAAAGCAGACAACATCTAAGACAACAAACAACAACACAGATTACTAGAGCTCATTTCTAATTCTCCGGCTAAAATGCTCAAAACCCAAGCCTAATACAGACAGCGTTCAGAGAATCTGTTAAAACCATCACCACTTTACAGTGTTCAAGGAACCTGTCAATGCCATCCTATTCACGGCGGATGTCACCATAATTTGAATCCCAATAGTTATCATACCGGTTTACTTACAACCTCTAAGACAAACAAACAACAACAACACAGATAACCAGAGTTGCGTTTCTATTCAAGGCAAAAACACCCAAAGGCCAGGCCAAATCAAAGTTGCGTTTATATTTCAGGTCAAAACGCCCAAAAAGCAATTTAACCTCATAGTTATCGCACCGGTCCACTCATTTAGCGTTCATTTCACGTTTATAACTTTATCACACCAGGGTTGCGTTTATATTTCAGCAAAAATGCTCAAAAACCCAAGCCAATACAGCATCTACGGAATCTGTTTATCTTTCTCTCTGACCACACAACCAACAATGACAACTGGAGTTGCGTTTCTATAAGGCTAAACGCTCAAAGCCAAGCCACCTCTCACTTAGGCCACCCCTCAGTTATCACCTCGGTCCATTCTGTACCAAAACAGCATTGGAATCTGAGGAGATTTAGGTTGTTGACACCGCGAGGCAATGGGACCCCAGCTTTCGAAGGACCAAATTATGTCATGGATTTTATCAATATGTTTATCAATAACCCATTTCCTGTTGTCGGAGAGAGAAGGAGATAATGATCAGACAAGTCAAACAGTTATAACAGTTATAACATAATGCACGAGGCAAAAATGCCCCGAACATCTGTTCACATACTTTATTTATACAGAGATGGGAGTGGAGAGAGAGATTGTGTCTGTGTGTGGGAAGTCAACAATGTGTGTGTGTGTGTGTGTGTGTGTGTGTGTGTGTGTGTGTGTGTGTGTGTGTGTGTGTGTGTGTGTGTGTGTGTGTGTGTGTGTGTGTGTGTGTGTGTGTGAGCATGTAGAGAGGCATAGAGCAATACGTTTACATTCAGTTGATTGAGTCCATGATCAAGAATTAATAACATAAATTTTTCTATAACATTCTGGCTTAACCATTTTCCTCCCCTTTTTTCTAATGAAGGAGATGAACAGGAAATCATCTTTCCTGCAGTTAGTTTCTGTGTCTGTTCTTCTCCTGAGCAGTGAGTTTCTGTTTGTGTGTGCTCGTGTGCACGCGTGAATGAGGAGGTAAGGGTGCTGCCAATTATTGCCTCAATGCCACTCTTTCAATCCTCCAGGCTACGCCTTTTTCTCAGGTATTTTTCTAGCAGGAAGTCTGGTTGACTTAGGTCTCCACCCATGCCTTGACTCCAACTTTAAGTGTCTTGCCTCTGTTGGGATGATCCCACAACCATCTGATCACTGGGCAACCCACTCTACCTCCTGAGGTACTGCTGCCCATATGGTCAAAAGCTCCAGATAGAGAGTTTGCATGACAGAGCACCTTTAACATGGCTTACCACCGTGTCACCTGTCTCCACCATCTGTCTGCCTGCAGCCGTCTGACTCACACACCAGTGAGGAACGAGGATGTTATCACTAACACCTGGCGCTGCTGTCAGCAGCCTAGATGTTGTCATGGTGAAGGCAACCAAGTCAACATATATGCCTCTGTTATGAAAGCTGCTGAAGGATGTATGGACATATCTTTAATTGCTGTTTTGTACTGGTGATGATTGCTGAACTGGGTGTTTCCAAATAGTTGCAGATCTACAAGAGAAAATAGTTTTCTCTATAAATGTTTTTTTAAGTGATTAGGTTTAATTAATAAGTGTCCTGGAGCTACATCCTGTGTCCTGGAGCTACATCCTGTGTCCTGGAGCTACATCCTCATATTATTACCTTTTGATTGCTTTAGTTGAGCCTAGTTAGATAAATGTTTACTCAGCTGTTCAACAGAAATATACTGAGTTCACCAGACACCTTAATACAACACATATCATTATGTAATAATTTAAGGGTGGGGTTGACTAATTCTTTTGTTTCTTTTATTAAAGCATGAATATCTCAGCAGTACATGAAATGGTTAAACAGCTTCTATCCATACACAAACGGGAAAGCAGCGCTGCATTCATAACATGATTCTAAGTGATTATGTAGATAATAATAATAATAATAATAATAATAATAATAATAATAATAATAATAATAATAATAATAATAATAATAATAATAATGCATTGAACTTATATAGTGCTTTTCTAGACACCCAAAGACGCTTTCACACACACTCACATTCACACACTGCTAGTGATGGTAAGCTACTTGTAGCCACAGCTGCCCTGGGGAGGTCTGACAGAGGCGAGGCTGCCATTTGGTGCCGTCGGCCCCTCTGACCACCACTAACACAGGCAAGTTGGTTGTTGAGTGATAAATGGATCAAGTTCACACACACACACACACACACACACACACACACACACACACACACACACACACACACACACACACACACACACACACACACACACACACACACACACACACACACACACACACACACACACACACACACTTTTATTACTGCAGCTGAAAATGTTCTTGATTTTTCTTGAATATTTTCAACACGTCTAGTTCTTTGCAGGTCCATCACACTTGGAGCTATAACTGAGTTTTCCTGTTATTACATCAAATTCTGATATGATGTTTCAATGTCAACTATAGATAAAAAGAAATGTGGTCTGTAGAAGTAATTTGTCTTGTAAGTGAAGGCAGCAATAATTGGCCATATTTACTTATTATTTGTTTGAATTAGGGGAAAAGGGGTGTGCTGTTATTAAAAGTTCTGCAGAGACAAAAGCAGAAGTTGTGTCACATGATCAAAACCAAATTGTCTTGGTCTTTAAAGGGCCAGGTTTTGGGTTTAATCACTTTTAAAACATCAACACATTGTTTGGTTTATTGGTCTGAAGTGCAGCAGGTAATGTCATATTAAAAATTAAAGCCCAGGTGCAGGTAATGAGGGTTGGGTTTGAACACGAGTGGAATGTGGCCCGTGTTAACCCACCTGTGCTGCTCATTCAGGTCTAAAATGTCAGATGTGACACAAACCTGTTTGGAATAATGAAATCTGGGTCCTGAATCTTCATTTTTGGAACAGTGTCTACTAAAGACTAACATAACTCTTCAGCACTTTTAGACTTGCCACAAAACAACACGTTCCTTGTGACCATGCCAAGGAGAGTCAGCAGACTGTTGTCATTTGATCGTGTTTGTGTAACAGTCCATGGCAATAATTCAAGTCCATTTCTTGTAGATGAACAAAGATGAATTGTAATGTTTTTGCCTTCATGTGTTTGAGAAAAAACATTTACGATGAGACATTTAACCCAGCTTTCATCACATAAATCACATAAAATTTCCCTTTGATTACAGAATCGGAGTCTAAAAGGTTACCTTTACCTGGAGGACACACACCTGTCCATATTTTCCCTGAAGGAAAATCAGAAGTTGTTGCATCTTTGGGTGGAACTTACCTGAAGCTGAACTTTAACAACCTGCAGAAGGTAGCTGCTCCCTGCTTTAGTAAACAGCGGTCAGGAGCAGAGTCTCAGTCCTTCATTCTTTCTCTTCTCAGAATCCAGAAGAACAGAAGCTGATGTGGAAAGACTGCAGCAGCCAGGTGAGTGGTTTGGATCTCTACAGGGATGTAAGGAACTGCTCTCCACCTCAGAAAGCTAAGGACGTTATTGTGTTTGTTGTTTAGGACTGCAGCTACAGAATCACCGTGGTCCATCAGAGAGAGGAGGAGGGACAGGTGTTTGTGTGTGGGACCTCAGATGAGAAAACACAGTGCTGTCACCTGGTACGGTTTTATTGGGAGCTGTTAGAAAGTCGGGAAGGATTACTTCTGATTTTAGTCCTCGTCAGAATAATAAACCGATTTCATTTTTCAGAAATGGGATCTGCAAAGTAGCAAATGCACAATCTGAGTGGTTAAAATCGTGTTACAGGTGAGGGAGAATACTGAGGGTTCCAGACATGATTTTGGTTTTGTTTTACAGAATTTGACAGATCATTTCCACGAATGTTATGTCCCTAATAAATTACACAAAATTGAGACAATAGAGGAATCTGTGATCAAAGAAGGAGAACATTCGGTCCTTGTGGGTGAGTTTGTCCTCTGCTGACCCCTTCCTGCTTTCTGCTTCACATGTTTTCTTTGCCAGCTGATCTTATTTTCTGAGGAGAACTTTCATTCTCCCTTTTCCTCCAGGAGCTGCCCTTGCTGAATGTTTGTACTTGTTGTAAAACTGTCAACCTGCTTTTCTCAGCCTGACTGATGGTGATTTTCTTTTGCTGTGCTACTATTTAAATGATTATGTTCCAATATCTTCTGTCTTCATGCTAAAATGTGCAACTGTGTGCCTCAGAAACCGAACAAGGCACAGATCTCTACATTACGTACTCTGGAGCTCAGGAGAATGTTGGCATCCACAAGTTTGGGTCTAAAAGAGTAAGACCAGTTCACCATGATAAAGGTATTTGTCTGAGGGATGCATGGAAACTCCATTTAACTTTACTTTAATCTATAAATTATCATGTGCTAATACTTTGTCCTGTCTTCAGAGCAGCACTATGTGGGTTTGGTGCACGACAAAAGGACTGAAAGCCTACAAAACAGAATCTATGCTTTTTATAAGCAGAAAAGCAAAGACACAGGACTGGACGGGGACATGTGGATTCCCTATGTGAGCCAAGTTTGCACGGTAGGCCTGCAGAGAGCAGATTGTTCCGTTCCTACATAGATTAATCCCATCTTCACTATTGATTCTTTATCTGTTGGGTGGTTCCAGGCTGATATTGGGGGACCCAAGAACAAGCTGCAGTTTAGTTGGACATCCCAAATGAATGCCAGACTCTTCTGTGGAAACGCCAACACCAAGCAGGATTTCACTGAGCTGGTGGACGTTGCCACTGTTCATGGAGACCAACAAGAAGCAAAGATATACGCGCTGTTCAGGAACGAGTGGTAAGATGCTTTTATGAACTTCATCAGAGTCTGCTTATGTAAGGATGAGATGTCACTTGTTTCTCTTCTAATCACACGATCAACACAAACATGACAAAAACAAAAATGCACAAGCAGCTGTTTTTTATGGTCAAACATATGAATCATTAGCTGAGAGCATGAGAACCAATGAGCCTGTGGCTGGTTCTTTCTCCTGGTCTGATTACACCACAAAGCACAAACCTCTTCTTCCCACGCGTTCCTATCAAGTGCTCATCCTATGAGGGTTCAATAGAGAGCATCCTCACCAGCAGAATCACTTCCGTCCTTGCCTCTCCCATAGGGCCATCAGCATTACTTATAACTCCGCCCACCCCTTACACTTCCTCTTTTCCTCCTCCCTGTCATGGAAAATGATACCAGAGCCTCTGACCTGCTCAAGACTGACCAATAGCTTCTCATTAGCGGCTGACCTCGGTCTACCACCCCCACCCCTGTACCATAACAGATGTCACTTCCTATTAAGTACACTGCCTCAGTTGCCACCATATGAAGATTAAGCATCAAGGCAAGGCAGCTTTATTTGCATAGCACATTACAAACACAGGCAATTCAAAGTGCTTTACCAGATCAAGGACAGCAAACAAAGAATGTAGATATTAATTTCAGATTCAACAAACAGATAAAAGGCATAGTCAAAAGGGCAGCAGTTACCGTGCAGAAGGTGCTGCATAAGAAACATTTATTCAAAGGCTGATGAAAACATGAATGCTTTTAGTTTTGATTTAAAACTTACTAGAGTTGGAGCACATTTGAGGTCATGAGGAAGCCGATTCCATCTCTGTGCAGCATAGTGACTGAAACAAGCTTCACCCTGTTTGGTTCTGATCCGAGGTTCTACCAGCTGACTGTTTTCCCAAGGATCTGAAAGCCCTGCTGGGTGTATATACAGGAAGGAGATTCTACATGTAATTTGGCCCCATGCCCTTGAGAGATTTATAAACTAGTAGAAGCTCTTTGATGTGGATTCTGTAGTTTACTGGTAACCAGTGTAGAAATTTAAGAACAGGAGTGATGTACTTGGTTCTTGTTAAGATTCTAGCAGCAGCATTCTGAATAAGCTGTGGTTGTTTTACAGCTGTTTTGGTAAGACCAGTTAGGAGACCATTGCAATAGTCCAGCCCGCTGGAGATGAATGCATGAATTAGTTTCTCTAGGTCTTGTTTTGACATGCTAATTGATGGAGATGATAAAACGCTGATCTAGTTATAGCTTTAATGTGACCAGGGAAGCGCAAGTCTGAGTCAATGGTAACACCAAGATTTCTAACCTGAGTCTTTGTCTTTATTACTTTGGAGCTAAGATGAGAAATAGCTTCCATCCTATCCTTCCAAAGACAATAACTTAAAGCTTGTCTTTGTTTAACTGAAGGAAACTTAATTGCATCCAGTCATTAACTTGTTCTAGACACTGACAGAGTGAGTCTATGGGACCAGATTCATTAGGCAATAGAAATTGGTAGATCTGGGTGTCATCTGCATAACTGTGGTAGGCGATGTTGATATTGTTTATGACCTGGCCCAGTGGGATCATGTAGAGATTGAAAAGCAGTGGTCCAAGAATTGAGCCTAGGGGGACACCGCATGTCAGTGCGATTTGCTTTGATTTGTGTTCACCAATGGAAACAATATAACTCCTGTATGCAAGGTATGATTGGAACCAATTATAGACTGTGCCTGAAAGTCCCACCCAGTTCATTAGTCTGTCAAAGAGGATGTTGTGGTCCAGAGTATCAAAAGCTGCACTGAGATTGAGCATCACTAAAACTAAAAGACCTTTGCAGTTGCTCTAGATGCATCTCTAAACTTTTTTGTGTTGATAGTTAACATTTTTTTATACCTTGATTTACCTTTTACATTTATTTACTTTTACTGTACTATGAAGATGGAGAAAAACCATTTGGATTCTCTTGTAAGTACTGAATACAGACCCATGGAAGTGTGACATCACATGCCACAGCCCCACCCCCCAGCTGTCATTACCACTGTTGTGTTTATCTGTTAGTTGTCAGTGAACAGAGCTAAATAGTTTATTAACACACATAGAGCTGTAGGTTGCACAAGTAAATGAAAGAAGGGCAGTGTCATAAAATTTTACATATTTCCAGCAGGGGCTGCGTGGTGCAGTGGTTAGAGCTGTTGCCTTTCAGCAAGAAGGTCCTGGGTTTGCTTCCCGGCCTGGGATCTTTCTGCATGGAGTTTGCATGTTCTCCCTGTGCATGCGTGGGTTCTCTCCGGGTACTCCAGCTTCCTCCCACAGTCCAAAAACATGACTGTTAGGTTAATTGGTCTGCCTAAATTGTCCTTAGGTGTGAGTGTGAGTGTGTGTGATTGTTTGTCCTGTTAGTCTCTGTGTTGCCCTGCGATGGGCCGGCCCTCTGTCCGGGGTGTACCCCGCCTGATTGCCCGTTGACCACTGGAGATAGGCACCAGCCCCCCCCAACCCACTCTTCTTGCCGTCCAGCTAGTGTGGATGTATGCAATTACCCAATGTAAGCAATAATTTTCTATAAAGCCAACTTACAATTAAAAAGCATTGAAAACATTTAGATTTTAAGAGGACATATTATGCAATCTCAGCTTTTGCTTCATTTGGTGCAGCCATGTGGGTCTCTACTGCTTCTCCAAACACTCAAATTTTGAACAAAAACTGCCCATTCGTCATTTGAAAATGTTTATTTTTATGACATCACAGAAAGGAGAATTAGCAAAGACCCCCCCCCCCCCCCACACACACACACACACACACACACACTTGTCCATGCTTAGGGAGGCCTCTGTTCAGGATGTAGGGGAGCAGCCGTGCTACTCTGAACCCCTCCTCGTTAGCAAAGCTCCTCCCTGCATAGCAGCCAATCACGTATTGAGTGGGCGTGGCCAGCAACAGCATGTTTGTTATAAAGTGACAGAGGTTTGATACATGGACATGTTTAGTATTGATTGTAAAACTAATATAATTTGTTTTAAAGAGGCATGTCATGTCCTCCCTTATCATGCTTTTGACTTTATCTTGTTGCAATCTGAGTTACGACTCATGTTGCATCTGATGTCTGACTGTTGCGTTGGTCTGCAGGGACATGAGCGCTGTCTGCGTCTACTCCCTACGTGATATTAGAGACATTTTCATGACCTCTGCCTTTAAGGATCAAGCAACAGATGACAGACAAAGAGAACTGGACAAAAAGAGGAAGCAGGTATGCTATTCACTCTGATCTGGAATGACCTAAGAATCCAACATTCTTCTTTAAATTACCTGACTTATTGTTTTACAGTGTTTGCATTAACTTTGTACCATTTTAATTACTCGGGAAACTGGTTTATTCTATCATCTGTCTCTGGATCTGATTCTGTGTTTTGAATTTCTATCACATGCCATAGCCGATCGACATGAATCTTTTCTCTTCAGTGTGTTCGTGACAGCAGCATGCAACATATAGACGTCCTGAACAGGATAGAGAGTAGAAGTGCTGAGATGATGGATTGGGTTCAGCCGGCGAGCGGGTCGGGCCCGATTCTGTTCAAGCACCATAACTACACACACATCTACGTCGATGCCTCCCATCCCAGGGGGAATGGTCACCATGTTGTTATGTTCCTCTCTCTGAGTGAGTAGAAATTCCCTCAAACGTGTTTTATAATGACTAGAAGCTTATGAATAAGTTCACTGGCATTTAGTTTGTGGTTCACAAAAAGTCCTGCATGTCTGGGCTGTAACGATAAGAAGCAGCCGTTCAACTCACCGAGGGGCAAAACCATGAGATCCAAGCCTTTGGCGTGCTTTGCCCCAGCAGCTGAACGATGAGTCCCATTAGGGAATTCTAAATTTGTTGAAACGCTTAGCTCCAAAGGGAAAGCTGGCTGTCATTCTAAATGATCCCACTTGTGAATAATCTTTTTATCTGGGCTCCAAACAAACACCTTAAAAAATGACCTTTAACCTTTCCCAGATTGATGGGCAGCAACAGCTGCCTCTCTAAGGTCATTGCTCATGTGTTTCCTACTTGTGTTAACACACAGCTGTATGCTCCAGACCATCAAACCCGCTTTTATAGAGGAGCTCCTTCTGAAGATGACGGGTTAACCAGCAGCTCCTGGATGATGCTTAAACCTCCAAAAGAGGGTGGATTTTCTTTTTACCACGACAGTAAAAGTTTGTTCTCCTCCTGGAGGATTTGATTCGACTCATGTTGGCCCTGGTAGATGATATGTTAGCAGTGCAGAGATCACTGCTAACCAGCTGATCTGTTCTGGTTCAGATCAGGGGTTCCCACAAATAACCCAACTAATAAACTAAACCAGGTTTCACTTGTTAAGTTCCTGTTACTAAAACACAAACACAGCATGTTCCACCTGAGCACCTATGGTTCACTTCCTCCAGGATCTGAAAACCTGTGACAGTAAAGCTGAAGTGAAAACACCAGTCTAGAGAAGGCAGCTTTAGTGGCATTTAACATATAAACTTATAAAAAAATGTGTTTTCTCCAGAGCGTTGATGGATTTAAACTGAAACGATACAGTTAAGAGGCCTGTGGTGGTTTGATACTGCCGTGGGTTTGTGTGTGGGGGATTCCATGATGAACGTTGATGGTTGTGGTCTAAAGGAACCAGATTTAAGGGTTGCAGGTGTTAAGCAGGTATGAGTCATCTTTCTGTTCCTTTGTGGCCCCAAACAGGTGATGGAAGAGTCCACGAGGTAGTACAGACTGAGGCTCACTCTTTTATCATCGCTGAGTATCACCCGTTCCGTAACCAACCACACATCACCAGCATCAGCCTCGACACCTCCTCTGTGAGTAAGAGTCACACTTACTCCCCCAGTCTGAACCGACCAACGTCCTGACACGACCGAAAGCTGTCCAGGTGTTGGCTAAACAAATAGAAATGTTCTCACAGGAGAAGGCCTTTTTACATGTATTGGTCAATTTTATTTTTTAAATTAGATCAGTGCTGAAACAAAAGTCCCAATTTGAAACATTTTCCTACTTTTTTAGAAAAAGTTGTATGTGAGCTCCATAAGTGAACTGGTCCAGCTTGATGTGGCTAACTGTACCCAGTACGGAAGCACCTGTGAGGAGTGTGTCCTGTCCAGAAAGCCGTACTGTGGCTGGGATGGCCGCAGCTGCACCAGCAGGTAAGACCTCAGAGCTCCATGATTAAAGCATCACATATCAGGGTTAGCCTGGGAGTTGATGATTGTTTTCAAATGTACACATAGCCATGAAGGCTGGAGTTACTGGTTTGTAGACCAGGGTGTGTTTTTCTGTCTCTTCTCAAAAGTGGTTTCCAAGAAAGAAAGTGAGACCCCAATAACTTCTTGCTTTCATTCTCACCAAAAGCTGCAGAGTCTGACTGTCAGGAAGCGCTGAAACCTTCTAGGGTGCTCTAAGTGGTGCATCAGTAAAAGTGGTAGAGGAGGGGAAATCCCCCCCCCCCCCCCAAGCCCCCTGAGGAGGTGCAGCTTAATCAGGATAATCCCTCGCTGATGCAGAGCATCACAGAGCAGAACATGCTTCTGTCATCATGAATGTTGCTACATCCCACCTCACCCTGCTGCATGAAACAAGTGTTGTAACATGCTACGTGTGTCATGTAGCTCTCAGACACGCCCACCTGTGGACAATGCTCAGAAGAAAACCAGGGTTACAACAGGCAGGCAGCTCACCAGGGACCATGACAACATGATGTTACTGGTACTGTGTCCTCAGACTTCCTGGTGATTTAGATATGGCTCACTTGTTGTGTAAAGGTGTGACAACACACACACCTGCTAGGGTTACGCTAAACATGTCACAACCTGGCTCATGAGGTAAAAACAAGCGTTCTAAACCATCGATGTGTTTATTGAAACAAGCCAAGAGTAATTGCATCTAGTAGTTAAACCATCAATAACCTAAATCATCAGATGGCCTTAGGCTGCTCTTGCTACAGCTGCAGGTATGAGGAGCAGCCAGATGTTCCCATCCTGGAGCTAACTCACTTCACCTGAGAACATCGGGGAAAGGATTAGGCAGGAGTCCTCATAAAGCTACTTCATTTACAGCGTTGGTAGCGACGGGCTCCATGGAAACTTATGATTTCATTACTATTTACTTACGAGCCTTCCTCTTGTACTATTTGTATATTATTCACTCTGTAAAAAGTGCCTTAAAAATATAAATGAGAGCATTGAGAGAAAATGACACATCTGACCCTAAACATCACGGGTTACAGCACAGATGCCTTTTAACAAAGACTTCTTGTAGCCATGTTTGACCTTTTGCTGACTTTTAGCTTCCTGAGGCTCCATTCAAGTTAAAACTGAAAGGAATTAAGGTAGAACTTTGATGATCCATAACTGATCTTCATGATTCATCTGACAAACACCACTGCAGTACTGAAACTCACCAGTGAGTCTGAAATCTTCCATGAAACTTCACACACACGTGTGTGTGTGTGCGCGCGAGTGCGTGCGTGTGCGCGTGTGTGTGTGTGTGTGTGTGTGTGTGTGTGTGTGTGTGTGTGTGTGTGTGTGTGTGTGTGTGTGTGTGTGTGTGTGTGTGTGTGTGTGTGTGTGTGTGAGAGAGAGAGAGAGAGAGAGAGAGAGTGAGTGAGAGTGAGAAACAACTCTCTGACTGAAAGGTCTGACCTGTAAACCAGAGGCCTAGATACAGGGTGGGAGCAAGAGTAATGGAACCCAGAGAACAGAGACACAAGTGGGGAACTCAGGTCTTTTTAATTCCCACAATAATCTACAAATAATCTAAGACTGCACTATTTAAAATGAATGAAAAACATTTGTTTTAAAAGATGGCATGCGTAAAACAAAAATATAATAAAAACTCCCAACGAGTCCCGAGAACGTCCACTCCCTAATTGTGAAGCACCACAGGAAAGGGTCTTCTCGAGGCAACGCCTGTTCTGCACAGATCCTAACAGAGGAGATCACAGAAGAAGCTCTCCATGGACACCTTTGGCCATCTCTCCCCGTCACCCTCGTTCAATAGCAATCACAGTTGTGGCCTCTGACACACTCTTATCCTGTGGAGCACAAGCCACTGGGCAGAACCTTTGGCTGTGGCAGCCCCGTTAAAAATCCTCTACAGGATCTGCCCCTATGGAGCTTCACCCTTCAAGCGGCTGTGGAAGCAGATTAGAGGACCACCTTCAGCTCTTCTGTCAGTGACATGCGTCACTTCTGGGAAATGCCTGTGATAATGATCAAATACATCCAGGGTTTTTATTTTTACTTTCATTAGCTTTTACATGAAGCAAATGCTTAAATCAACAAAATGGTGCTTTTTTCTGAGGATGTAACGGCTTTTATTCCTGACATGATGATACTGTGGGACTTTTCATGTGACCGATCAGCATTTCCAAGAGTTTGGCTAGCAACAAGACAGATTATAAGTTAATAAACCATATATTTAATCTTTATTTCAGCTTTTCTGCTGTTTTGTTTGAAAAAATACAGAAAGGAAAACAACTTCCTGCTGCTTGAACTATAATTAAGCATATGAGTAATAGCCTAGAAATCCAATCAGACAGGAGCTGAAGTTAAATTATTGTATATAGGTCATATATAAGAAGGCTTGCTAGGTTGTAAGAGCAGAAGAAATCGACCAAAGGTGCTGCAGACTTGCTTGCAGGGGAAACGGATCTAACTATGGTTATGAGACCTCCAACCAGACAACCACACTCTGCACACTGTTAGCTGACTTATCTGCTAGTAAAATGTGTGTGTGATATTGTGGGCGTGCATTAATAGGCAGTGACCTTTCTATGAAGTTTATTTTTACATGAATCATGAATAAGAAGGTAAACATGGTTCCTCCTGGGGAGGAAGAGGCGTGATAATGATGAAGAGTCTGCCAGAATCATATCATTAGTTCTTATTTGCATTTAAAAGCTGAAACGTTGATCAGAATTTGAATGTGACTTTGTTCTTCATCAGTTAGGAGCTGCAGCTCACCGAGATAACAGTTTTCTTTCTCTTTGTGACTTCTGTCCCTGCTGTGTCCATGTTCAATTTTGGCAAGCACAATGCTCCAACCTGCTACACTTTATGGGCGTGTTTTTATCAGCATGTTAGCATTGTCACAGTTTGCATTGTGAACCGGACCTGAAGAGGAACAAAAAGCAGAATTGGCCCCTTTCACGGCAACATGCAACATCCTGTCAGAGTGAACATCATGTTGTCTTCCAACCAACCAAAGCAGCTGTTGCTCCATCATTAGGCAACATTTAATGATCTCATTTTGAAACTCTTGCCTGAAAGGCAGTGAGCAATAAGAATTTTTTAAAGGAATGATAGACCTTTAGTCATGGATGATGTCATTAAAAGGGTTGATTAGCCGTTTTTAAATGGTGTGAAAAGGCAGGACGTGTTGGGACCAGTCATGAATTCTTTTGCCATGATCGAGGAGAATTACCTGGAGTCAGTCAGGCATCCTGTATAAACCAGCTGGCAGGCAATTAAATGTTGAACATTTTAGGGACTAATATTTACTGTATTTAAAGTGTTAAGACGTGAGTAACGATACTATCTTAATGTTCCAGATACCACATATGTAGTAGACCTTCTGTCACAACAGGGAGAGTAACTGGATTATTAAATCTGGGATGTCTAAATAAAGGATTTTAAAGAGAAAACGTGCAGTTTGTGTTAAACACTAATTCAAAGCTGTATTTTCCATGTCACCTGTTTAAGCTGCGGTTAGGAGGATTGTCCCTGATGTATGTTTGCCATTGCAGGGGTGCTCTCCAGGATGTGGTCAGAGGGAACTACACCATCTGCTCGGAAATACAAGCACGCTCATCTCTGCTCTCCAGTAAGGGTAAAAGCATATTTAGGACTGAAATCAGTCTTTCTCATTTAATGTTGGTGGACTCTTGAGTCTATTTAGATGAACACGTGACAGGTTTACCTTCTGCCAATGTGCTTTAAAGAGCAAGTTCACCCAAAAATCATCCTTTACTTGTTGTTTTTGGAATATAGGGTTGAGTTTGTCGTTCAGGATGAGCGTGAAAATATTTTACCCCTGTGTCCTCAGATTAGCGGCCAATCAAAGGCACATCACGCTGTAAATTAGAATAGACTTTAATGATCCCACAGTGGATAAGTTCACTCGTTACAGCAGCACCAACACTTAAGAGAATACTTTGAAGAAAAATAATAACAAAGGTACATGTACATACACATAGGCAGTTATCTAGTATTGTAACCTTCGACCACTAAAAACCATGAACAAAAAATGAAAAAACAAACAAACATGGGTTTCAACACTATGCAGCATACTGTGAGACACAGGCATGCAATGTAAATCTGGTATAACATGAGTATAGAGCTCCGGGAGTTGACGTCACTTTTCCCGGCATGCAACAGTTCAAATCGAAACGGCGTCATCTTGGCAGGTAGAAGCCCGCAGCTGGACTATTTGTTATTGTCAGAAAACTCAGTCAAACGGGAAATATGGTCGTTTCCTGTTGTGCCCCAGGGTACAGAACAGACGCGGACGACATAAGGAATGAGCCATCTACAGGATTCCCCAAGATCCGGAGCGCCGCGAATGTTGGATAATTGTAATAAAACTCACTAGTGACCGGGCTAAAATGAAACTGTGGGATCCCGAGAGTAAAGGTTTTTGCTTATGCAGCGACCACTTCATATCAGGTACTTAAACCAACGTTTCCTCAACTGTGTATGGTATTTATTTTAAATGCTTTTATTACCATTCTTAGTGGGCTTCCTAAACTTATTTTGGCGTGGCTTTTTCTGTCTTATTACTCATAGCAACAAGTAAACATCACGTAAAACGTTGCCTCGTGAGTTCTGCGTGCTGCCGTTTACGTGTTTTATGATCACAGCAATTAACCGGCTAAGCTGTATTTAATTTTTAAGCAATGGTTGATCAATTGTCAGATCACACATAAAAAGCACTTTGGATTGCTATTATCTGTCTCACCGAGACAGATCTCAGACAGATCCTGAGACGCTCCTGCCTGACATATTTATTTTATTCACAGAAAAAAATCTAACGAGTGATTTCTCTTGGCGTTCAGTTTATACATTCAAACAGCACAGCACTCTATTTAAACTACTTACATGTAAATCTGTTATTTGTCCATCCATCCATCCATTTTCAGCCGCTTATCCGGAGTCGGGTTGCGGGGGCAGTAGCGTCGAGAGGCCCAGACTTCCCTCTCCCCAGCCGCCTGAGCCAGCTTCTCCGGGTAAATCCCAAGGGGTTCCCCGGCCAGGTCCGGTAAGAAGTCCGCTCCGACAGCTTCTGGCGTTTTTAAAAAGTATCCCAGGGGCACGGTAAGGGTCGGAGATGTTTAGTCTATTTAATTTCTGACTATATAAAACGATTTCTTCGGTTTTAAAGTGTGAAGTAAACTCCGACGAAGTAAAATCCAAGCCAATCCCGTTCATGTTCATGTTTACGATCTGTGTTTGTTTACCTTTTTTTCCTGCCAATATGGCGTCTACTAACCGAGAGCCACGTGGGGTCCGGAGCTCTATAGAGATGGAGAGTGATATTAATCCATCCAGGGTGGATGGCTCGGGGCACAGAGCTAGCTGTTTCTTAACACGGTCACATAAAGCCTCGATGAAGGCCACTTTTAAAGCATCGTCATTCCATGATGTCATGGCAGCCAAAGTCCTGAATTCCAGAGACATATCTGCCACTGTTTTCCGTCCCTGGGAGAGGTGTAGGAGCTTCTTCCGAATGTCAGTGGTGGTCTCAGAACTGCAAAAAGTCACCTTAAAATCCTCCAAGAACTCAATGTAGGAACCTGACAGAAAATCAGGGTTCCTACTCTTGGCCTCCGCCCACCTAAGCGCTTTGCCCCTCAATAGTCTGACAATAAAAGATATCTTCATAGAGTCTGTAATAAAAGTACTGGGAGAGCGCTCAAACGCTAGGCGGCACCGCAGTAAGAAGCCAAAACAGTCTTCGAGCTCACCCGAGAACGTAGGACATGGCAGGGGTGGGGGCCGGACGGAAGTGGGTGACTTCCGTAGGACCGAGCGTTTCCGGTCTGGGTGGACCCACTCCTCCAGAGGCTCGTAACAATGGTTCCGGAACGGACACCGGAGTAGCGGCTGATGCTAGAGCTGGAACAGGAGCCGGAGCTGGAAGTCGCTCATGAAGCTGCTGGATCATAGTCTTCAAGTGCTGGTAGCGCTAGTTAGCGATGTTGAGCTGTTCCATGAGGACAGGAAGGGTCTGCTCCTGCTGCGACATCCGGGTAGCCAGATCGGCAAGTATAGATTCCGCTGGGATAGGTTGATGGCCGGATGATTCTGTCATGACTGGAGGTAAGTGTCTAACCCAAGACATGCAAAATCAACTTGACGAAACTGGTTGAGTTAAAGAAAAGTACTTTATTTGGAAACGGGAACAGAAGTAGCACTGGGAAGTCAAGGAACATGACACAGAGTTCCTTTTAAAGGTATCTACCACCTCAATGTCTGCACCCTGGATGTTTACTGGTGAGTGGAGTGTTTCTCTAGAAGTCAGTCACCATTTCCTTTGTCTTACTGGTGTTCAAGCGAGGTGGTTACGCTCACACCAAAAGTCCATGATGAGGGGGTGCCAGGCTGGAAGGGGCGCCAAAGTGATGATGCAAAAATATTTTAGTCCGCATTTCCTGTGTTTAGAAACAGCTGTGCTCTGTCTGCTTGTGTATCAGCAAGTTATACCATTAATGTCAGAGAAACATGTCAGAGATTAAGCGCCCTCCGCTTCTTAACCCCCCCCCCCAACACACACACAAACAGAGCGCTCCAATAGGGGGTCTAGTGTCTTCATACCCCTCCAAATCTTCTGGAGGTCACAGCTGCTGGTGTTGCATGTGAAGTCCGAGGTGTAGAAAGTGAATAGAAAGGGTGAGAGCCGTACCCCGTGGAGCTCCAGTACTGCACACAACTATCTCAGACGAACAGTTGTGTCTGCTCACGTACTGTGGCCTGTTGGTGAGGTAGTTGATGGTGTCAGATGTTTGTCCACTCCTGTACCCCTCATCTTCTGCTGCAGTAGACACAGCTGGATGGTGGTGAAGGCACTTGGGAAGTCAAAGAACATGATTCTCACAGTGCTTTTTTTCCATTTCGAGGTGAGTTAGGGGTAGATGAATGCATCCTCCACTCCCATGCTTGGTTTACATGCAAATTGCAGTGGACCTATTTCCGGCATTACAACTGAGCGTAGATGGGTGAGGATGAGTCTCTCCATAGTCTTCATCAGATAAGAGGTGAAGGCGACAGGTTGGTAGTGGTCTGGTTCCCTGGGATGTTATGTTTTGGGAACTGGAACCACACAAGAGATCTTCCACAGGATGTGTTCATGGAATCACCCATCTCCGCTTGCAACAAGGAAGGCTGTTGGCTTGGCATCCAGGAAACATCAGAGAACATCTTGGCTTGCAGAAGCTAACCGTTAGCATTAGCAACTCCACCACACAGCACAATTTCTTCAGGCTTGTGTTATTTGTGGAGATAAAACATCAGAGTTGCAGAGCAAACAGAGTCAGTGGTAGAGACATGTTGCTGTTAGACAATCAGGGATGAGATGTCAGAATATAAGGACTTAAAAGATCCTAAGATGTTTCCTGGCCAGCCGAGAGATATTCTCCTGCGTGTCCTGGGTCTTCCTTTAGGTCTTCTCCCAGTTGGACATTCCTGGAAAATCTCACCAAGGTGGCATCCTAACCAGATGCCCAAGCCACCTTAACCAGCTCCTCTCGATGTGGAGGAGCAGTGGGTCTATTTCGAGCCCCACCCGAATGACCACACTTCTCAACTTAGCTATAAGGGAGAGCCCAGCCACCATGGGAGACAAAAACAAATTTCACCTGCTTGTATCAGCAATCTCGTTCCTTTGGTCATTAAAGTTAAAGTCCCATAGTCATCTTCACACACTGGTGAAATTCATCTCCGCATTTGACCCATCCCCATGGAGAGGAGCGGTGAGCTGCAGCAGTGGCTGCGCTCAGGAATTATTTGGTGTTTTAACCCCCAGTCCATTCCTTTAAAGCTGAGTGTCAAGCATGGAGGAACTGGGTCCCATTTTTAAAGTCTTTGGTATGGCCCAACCAGGAATTGAACCCCAATCTCCCAGACCCAGGGTGGACAGTCAACCACAGGCCACGGAGCTACCCATAGTTCATGACCATAGGTAAGGGTAGGAATTAGGGATGAGCCGGATACTCGTTTTAGACAAGTATCCGGTACGGATAAAGCATTTTTGACGAGTACGAGCATGAAACGAGTAAAACTCGTAAATATCTGTAATTGTGCTGAAGGAAAATCCTCATTGGGTAACTGACCGTCTTCACGCTCTGTGATTGGCCAGTCTAATAGAGTTACTTTTTTCATAACGTACGTGGTGCATTTGACAAGACAGAGCTGAAAACGGCTCGTGCTGCGTCAGTCACTGCCTCCGGTCGGGTTTTTTTCTTCCTCTCTCTCTCTCTCTCCTCCTCCTCAGGATCCACTCCCTCTTTCCTATTCACACTCTCTTTCTTTACATTTTTTAATAACAATTGTCTATTTTTTTCTCATTTTAAATATATTTTAATCATTTTCTAAATTCTTTTATCTATTTTACATGTTTTGTTCTCGTGATTTTTATCTTGAGAGGCGCTATAAAAAAGATCTTTTCTTCTCTCTCTCTCTTAATTCATGCACTTAAATATTAATGTTCTGATTTTATTGAAAAACTTGTTCTGTAATAGTTTCTTTACTATTGTGATCAAAAACATTTATTCTCAATTCTGAGGCTGCTCTGCAAATAGTTTTCAAATAAACAATACACATAGCAACTTCTGATCAGACTTAAAGTAACATATTGATGTAAACCACACCCACTCCTGGTTAAACTACACCCACTTCTGGGTTAGGCCACGCCCACTCCGAGTACAGATACAGATACAGATAATTTAGATGGTTGAACAGATATAGATACAGATACAGATAGTGGTGTACTCACTCATCTCTAGTAGGAATGTAGTTCGACCAGTAAATCGAGAGCTTTGCCTTCCGGCTCAGCTCTCTCTTCACCACGACAGATCAGTACAATGCCTGCATCACTGCAGACGCAGCACGCCTGTCGATCTTGCTCTCCATCTTTCTCGTGTATTCATTAAAGATTTTATGCGTGTATAAAATTTTGACAACGCACAATGCCGTTCCAACTTTATTTATAAAGCAGCTTAAAAACACCAAAGATGACCAAAGTGCTGCACCACACAGCACAATAAGAACAGACCAATACAACAAGAGTAACGGTAAAACCAACTGAGTTGAAAACCGGTGAGGAAAAAAAGTGAGCTTTCAGAGAAGACTGTCTGATATGTAGAGTAACCCATCCCACCGTCTGGGGCAGCAACTGAGAATAAAGAGTCACCTTTAACAAGCGTTCTCTGTGCCAGTGAAGGCATACTCAGACAGGAGAGGCATGAAGGCATGGAACAAAAGAAAAGGTTTTACTTAGTCTAGATGAGTATATTCATGACATGTATTAAATATTTAAGAGTTTTTGTCTCACAGAGCAATAAAGCATGTTTTTTATTCATGCAACATTATCCAGAGTCGGACCAAAACGTGCTGCTTAGGGCTCTGCTGAAACAAGACTGGAGCCTCGATACATTAAAGGCTATTTGAGGTTTATGCTTCAAGCTTGTCATAACTTGTATTTAGCTTGTCAGAGCTGCAGCTTATCTCACTTCCTCAGTCGGTTTTACAAACTTAAGAGCATCCGGTCTGCTTCCTATAATAGCAAACCCACTCGGTGCACCACCCACACTGCAAAGACGAGTCACAGCGACGTCTATTTCAGGTCATTTCTGCACGTCCACTGTCAGTCCCCTGTAAGTGCAGACTGTGACACCAGACGATGTCTTTTTCATCACGTCTCCTGCATGTGCTGCATTGATGTCCTTTGGATGTTCAGATTAGGGCTAATTCTTGTCTAAATGAGATTGTTGTGGATGTACTTCTCCCATCCCCCCGACACGTTGCAGCATCGCCTTTTCCAAGTACCCTTTGCTTGTCCAGATATGGTTAATCCTGGTCTAAATGAGGTCATGATGGACGTCCTTCTCACATCCACCAGACGTCACTGCGGTATCTTTTCCAGGGCCCTCATTTATCAAACATTTGTAGAAACTGTCCTATATTCCCTCCTACGATCAAAAGTTAGAATGTGTGTATGAAAAGTCAAAAGACTGATTTATGAAGCATGCAGTGGCCTCTCCTACGCCCGTCTGATAAATCCCACCTGTGCGTACCCAGATGCTCGTGTCCGTTCGCCGTCACTCAATTAATCATATTTGGTCACTCCACATAATATAAATTCCATTCAGGAAATTCTTGCGTTCTTCCCAAAAAGCAAAATGGCCAAGAGAACACAATGAAGCTGACGAATATTGACAAACAATTTGGCTGCATTATTAGACATCACTCTGACTTGCATCGCTGCACACTCAGAAATAAAGTACAGAATTGTACCTTTAGGGGTACATTGTCTTGTCACTGGGGTGATGCCCTTAAAGGTACCATTTTGTACCATCACCTGTGGGTAAAAATTTGTATCCTTGTAATTTGTAGCTTTTTACATGCCATACTTGTACCTTAGGGAACAAATTTGTACCCTTAAAGTACACAAAAGGAGGACATGCAGAGAGACTGCAGACCAGGATGTGAACCTGAACTCCTACTAACAAGGCAGCTGCACTAACCACAACACCACTGTGGTACTGTGTGTTTGGATGTTTTTATTTCAAGATGACAAATATCAGAACACAGATACAAATTCAAAAGTTCTTGCTGCAATCGTTTACTTTTCAAATGCAATGCTGACCTGTTAAACCCACCAATAGTCCTTGTCAACAGCTATCAAATGCTTTAGAATGACGTTTGTTATCCCAATGTTTATGCTTTCAAAACAAAATTGAGCCACACTATCTCTTATTATTGTTAATGTTTTTAAATCCAACAAATAATTGTACAACTATCTTTCAGTGCTTACAAAATGGTGAACAGAAACTATGAAATCTATTTTGAGAAGTATAGCTTTGCTAATGGATGTTTTTTAGTGTAAGAGATCATAACCAGGAATTGTACCTTTTGAAAGAATTGGTACAAATGTGGACCTTTTACTACTAAGGAACATATATGTACCTTTCACACAACTAAAAAAGTACAGATAGATACCCTGTTGTCATGTTTGTCCCTTGGAGCACAACAAACTACCCTTTCTGTAGCCCTATTTTTGACCGTGTGTGCATGGGGACTGTGATGGAACACTAAATAAATAAATAAATAATACTATCCAGTATTCAAAAAGGCAATCCAAACATTTTCTTGTTCCAGAAAAAGAAAAGAAGCCTTCCTTTTAAACTAATAATGAAACTAATGCTCTTCATGAGACATGTGATAAATAAATATTATGTGATTTAAATAATATGTGCAAGGTGGCCGGTGCCAGTCGTGGCGGTGGCATTGCATGGTCATCGGGGGCAGTTCCTGTGGAGTGGCAGACCGGGGGGGGTGGCCCCATCTTTAAGAAGGGTGACCTGAGGGTGTGTTCCAACTATAGGGGGATCACACTCCTCAGCCTCCCTGGAAAGGTCTACTCCAAGGTACTGGAGAGGAGGGTCCGATCGATAGTTGAATCTCAGATTGAGGAGGAGCAATGTGGTTTTTGTCCTGGCCGTGGAACTGTGGACCAGCTCTATACCCTTGCAAGGGTGATGGAGGGGGCATGGGAGATTGCCCAACCAATCCACATGTGTTTTGTTGATTTGGAGAAGGCTTATGACCGTGTCCCCAGGGGCACCCTGTGGGGGACGCTCCAGGAGTATGGGGTGGGTGGCTTTCTGTTAAGGGCCATTCAGTCCCTTTACCAGAGGAGCGTGAGTTTGGTCCGCATGGCCGGTGGTAAGTCGGACCTGTTCCCGGTGAGGGTTGGACTCCGCCAGGGCTGCCCTTTGTCACCGGTTCTGTTCATTACCTTTATGGGCAGAATTTCTAGGCGCAGCCGTGGTGTGGAGTGTGTCGAGTTTGGTGGCAGGAGAATCTTGTCTCTGCTTTTTGCGGATGATGTGGTCCTCCTAGCTTCATCCAGCTCTGACCTTCAGCTCTTGCTGGGTAGGTTCGCAGCTGAGTGAGAAGCGGCTGGGATGAGGATCAGCACCTCCAAATCTGAGACCATGGTTCTCGACCGGAAAAGGGTGGCATGCCAATTCCGGATTGGGGGAGAGGTCCTACCTCAAGTGGAGGAGTTTGAGTATCTCGGGGTCTTGTTCACGAGTGAGGGTAGGAGGGATCGGGAGATCGACAGGTGGATTGGTTCAGCGTCTGCAGTGATGCGGATGCTGAGCCGATCTGTCGTGGTGAAGAGGGAGCTGACCCAGAAAGCCAGGCTCTCGATTTACCGGTCGATCTATGTCCCAATCCTCACCTATGGTCATGAGCTTTGGGTAATGACCGAAAGAACGAGATCGCGGATACAAGCGGCCGAAATGAGTTTCCTCCGTAGGGTGGCTGGGCTCAGCCTTAGAAATAGGGTGAGGAGCTCGGACATTTGGGAGGGACTCGGAGTAGAACCGCTGCTCCTCCGGATCGAAAGGAGCCAGTTGAGGTGGTCTGTGCATCTGGTCAGGATGCCTCCTGGACGCCTCCCTGGGGAGGTGTTTCGGCCATGTCCTGCCCGCAGGAGGCCCCCCCCCAACCCCCAACCCCCCCCCCCCCCCCCCCCCCCCCCCCGGTTGACCCAGGACACGTTGGAGAGGTTACATCTCCAATCTGGTCCGGGAATGCCTTGGGGTCCTGCCGGAGGAGCTGGTGGAGAAGGCCGGGGAGAGGATGGTCTGGAGCTCCCTAGTTGGGATGCTGCCCCGCAACCCGGATAAGCGGAGGAATACGACGACGAAATAATATGTGATCAATATTAAATGTTCTCTGCACAACCCAAAGCCCCAGTGGACACACCCAGAGATAATTCAGCTTTTCTGCCTCATGCTAACATGAGCTCAGTGGTCTGAACCTCCTCAGCTGTCAGCTTTTGATGATGATAAGGAGGAGGAGCAGCACCAATATGTTCAGTTTCTCAGAGACGATGAAGCATCTCATCTGGTCTCTAAACAGATTGCTCATGTAGCACAGAACCACAGTCCCAGCTCACCTGTCTAACTCTGAAGTGCATTTTGGAATGATCACACTGCTCTTCTTGTGCAACCAGCGCAGCGGCAAGAGTGAAAATGTGGAGCAATCAAATACAGGAAGTGTGATCAAACACACGACCAGTCACAGAATATTCACCACCAATGATTACTGGCATATGCTTGTTCGTATGTATGACATCTCTAGTGGGAAGTTGTCATGGTAATTGTCAAATAGCTGTAAAAGCACACAGCCACATTTAGAGCGTTAAAAGCAATTCTCATCTTCCAATTATCAAAAGAGGATCTAGAAAGAGGAACTAAAAACTAAACAAACAAGAAATAGATGTGTGTCAACACCAGACCAGATGGGTTAGTTTAGACACTCAACAAACATCTGTATTTGTCTTTTTCTTCTCAGATTTCAGAAACCAGGAGAAGATGGTGATGCTTTCCCCTCAGTCCATGTATTTCCTGAGCTGCCCCGTTTTGTCCCATCATGCCCAGTACACCTGGCATCACCCTGGTGGCGTCTTGCCCTGCAACCACCTGGAGGACCAGTGCATCTTTCTCATTGACAACATGAGTGAAGCTCGAGAGGGAAAATATAAATGTGAGTCAGAGGAGAGTGGCTACAGCAGGGTCCTGGAAGAGCTCGAACTCCAGCTGAGCCGCACGTCTGAGGCCGGGACGTTGGGTCCAACTGTCTGGGTTTGTGTCTCAGCGCTCATGGTCAGGAGTTTCTGCTCTTCCTTTTACTAAAGGAATTGGTGAAGTGCTGAGTCATATCCCGTCTACAGGGCGGAGACCATTGGGCAACCATTTAGACCAAACTGTTCTTCAGTGAGCATGGAGCACAAGCCAAGGGTGTCCCTGTGGGGTCTCGATGGTCCCAGATCTGGATAAAATTTGCTTGCCCAATGGCTTCCATCCAGCGTAACCGGCCTCTATTTGATGATCTTTGCAGTGTTCAGCTAAATTCTGTTTTAGTTTTATGGCTGTAAAGATTCTTAGAAACTCAATCAGTATTGTGATGGTGTGCTAACACACTGCTTCTGTCAGATCTGTGAAAATTTTATTTATCTTTATAGATTTAGTAAAGCTGAGTTCATCCGTCTGACTTGTTCTGGGTTACAGAATGTAGAGGATGATCAGATGTTGCAATAACAGATTTTACGTGTGAAAGTTTTTTCCTTTTTCCTAATTTTAAAGTACAAGATTTGTTAATTCTAGGTATTTGAGATAAATCCGTATCTGCAGTTGGGAGCTTCACAAGAATCAGAAATTATAAATCAAGAACCTAGTGATCATGAAGATGAAGAATCTAGACTAATTCTGATCTGACTGTCATCATGTGTCTATTTCATTTCATTACTTGTTGTCTCTGATAAAGTGTTAGATCCCTTCAGCTATAACGAAACTTTTACCAGGAATCCACTCGGCTCATCTATCTGTTAACAGTGATAATTGAACGAGTGACTAATGCAGGTCAGATGGTTTTAGATTTGTGGTTGTTCAAATAACTCCAACACAGAAGTAAGTCAAACAGCCTGACATCAGCAGCCACGAAGTATTTATTTTTAAGCTTTGAGATGTTTAGTTTGAGTTTTTGATGCTTGATAAGGAGATCTAATGTGTCATGTGAGATAAAACGGGTGTGAGAAGTATGTTTGCACTTCAGCCAGTCGGTGTGTTGCTCAGCTTGACTTTCAGAGATTGTAATTTAATATATTTGTTTTGTTTTTGTCTTCAGTTTTACTTTGTGATATTAATGCAACACACAGGGCGGGGTTCTTATGATGAAGGGGTTTTGCATGTGTTTTCATTAGACTCCATTTTAAATATGTTTACTTGTGCTTTTCAACTTAGGTTGATGAAGGATTTCAGTGTATTTAAGGTGATCCACACCAGTGACGCCTTAAATAGCACACCAGTCATTGATTCAGACACCTATGGAGGGAATTACTTTAGAAAGCTTTTTTTCAGGTAAAATATATCTCAGAAGTCCCTCCTGATGCTGAATGTTCAGTATTGCAGCCCACTTCTCTGTGGTCACACAGACCACATCCTAGAGCAAAGACCTGCAGTCCCAAATAAAAATACCTTGTTGAAAACACACGGCTTCATCTCAGACTGATTTGGTTTAATTATTTTATTCTATTTATTCTTTATCTAACAAGGAATGTCCCACTGAGATTAAAAACCTCGTTTTCAAGAGTCCTGGCGAAGAGGCAGCAAAAGTTAGTTACATAATGGTTGTTAGCTTTAGTCTTTACATTATTTACAGTGAAATATTCTTTAAGGACGATTGAGACGTTGACCTCGGTGCCACAGGTCATTTGCTCTTGTTATGGCTGTAAAAGTGGAACTCAGTAAAAGCACAAGTCAGCTATTTTCAGAGCTTGTGACATCTCTGACTACCTCTCTGACCTTTGAATTTAACCAAATGAGCCTTTTAAAACTTCTTTAGAAGAGAAATCTTTGACAGTTGACTAAGACCACATATGGTGTGAGATTAAGATAACACCACAGTGGCGCCCAGAGAACTGCTATCAGACCTCTTTATGTCAGGTTAAAGGTACAAAATGTAAGAATTCTGCAGTGAAATAATCACTAATCTCGAAGTTATGCTGAGGAAGGTTATGCTGAAACAGATTTCATTCTCAGCCGGCTTGGGGTTGTTAGTGTTTCTCCTTTCAAAAAAGCCAAAGAGGGATGTAGTTCACAGATCAGTGAGCCTGCAGTTACCAAAGCTGTGCAGGCAAACGCTGCAGCGTCAACAATTGTAATTAAACATCAACGGGCAAAAAAACAATGTTTTGCAAAAGTCCTAAACCAGTAAACAGGAGCGACCCAGAAGATATTTCTTGTACCCTTAAGGAGCCACAGCATTTTTTTACTCTAATATCTGGTAAAGAAGGATAGAGGCTAACGTTGAGCTAACAATGCTAACAGAAAATTAGACGTAAATATTTGGTTCTAAAATATCTTAAACAACTTTTTCTAATACCAATAACTTGATATTATAGTGAAATGTATTTATCTACTTATCAGTTTACTGTTTAACTCATGAAATCAAACTCATGGAAAAGTGCTGAGACAGTAACTTATGTTTGGAAACTGGGCTGCAGTACCAAAACATGACCCAGACCTAATCTTGCATAATGCACCTTTAACTGTCAGAAACAGTCCCAAGGTGTGAATGAATGCTTGTGTGTCCTGCTTGTCTTTGGTGTCCCTGTGATGGATATGTGCCAAGTCCTCATGACCCTACTGAGGAATCAAATTCAGAAAATGAATGGATGATGGTGAACACATTAATCTGTATGCAGCTGTTCACCTGAGGTTCTTATGTTTCATCAGTTTTAAGTTCTTCAAATCACAGAAAATAATGTTATAATGTATAAAACTAACAATTGTTTTATCCCTAGTTCACATGAAATTGTATTTCATTGATTTGTTTTATGTGCTCATTTCAGAAAATGTAAGTATATATTTTTTTATTAACTTTTAGTGACTCATGTCTCATTCAGTTTAATTTTATTTATGTTTGATGCGCACATTTACCACAATGCAGATGTTGCTTTCTCAATGGCATACAGCACCTTTTGTCAAAGTAAAAATATCTAATCTCGTGTTTTATTCATTTAAAAATTATAACATGTTACATAAATTCATGTTTTGCTGTCTGTGGATAAAAATAAATAAAATTAGTTTAAAAAGTTTATTCCAGTTTGAGTCACTGCTGGGTGGTAGTGTGTGTGTGTGTGTGTGGGGGAGGGGGGGGGGGGTGACATCTTTCTGTAACTCGTATCTTTATGCTGCAGCAGCAGGGTGGGATTATCAACAAAACACATGAGCCAGAAGCAGAAAGGAAACAGATGCGGAAAATAAGATATAAAGTAAAACTTTATCATGACATACAAGTTTAAAGCCCTGAGAACCATATCTTTATATTAACTAATATGAACAAAACTGAATGTGTGAAAACCACTTTGGAAAAGTGCTCCTCTTAAATACAATCAGCACAAACCAGTTTTTACAAGCATTCATATGTTTTGTCCTATTTTCTTATGTTTGCTTTAATCAAAGAGAAAACTAAAATATCAGTAATATCATTATTATCATGTTCATAATAATAACAGTACAAAAATATGCACAAACCCCACAGTTGAATTAATATACGGAGCATTGTACAAGCCAAAACAACAACATAAGTGATAAATGAGGTATTCCATAACCACTTGCATATGAACCTGTTAAACACAGATCAGGTTAGATTCTTAACACAACGTAGAAGTGAATTTTACTCCCAAATCATCAGAGACAAAAGGGTTCCTCAGACTTCGTCCTTCCTGAGTGACGAGGCGCCTGCAGCCTGCCGTTACCGGTGACTAAGAGCCTCAACTCAAACGTTGAGAGGAGCTGGAGGCTGGTCCTCACTGATCGGTGCACCTCACTGCCCCATGGTAGGGGTAAACAAACATCACACACACATGCAGGAGGAGCAGAGCAAAACCGATGGTACTGGGCAGCTCCCAAGTGCCTTTTCTCTTTAAATAGATGAAACAATGGCGCCACCTGCAGCTTTTTTTACAGCTAATACACAACTCACCATGTTAAACACACACACACACAGACACACACACACACATGCAGTGAGGCTGCAGAGGAAGCAGACGAGTTGGACGTAAAATAAGAAAACACTTTAGTCACACTCTAAAAAACCCAAGCTCTACCAGGACACAAAAACACAAATAAATATAAAAAACTCAGCTGCTAAGTAAACCGTGTGAAGGATGACGAGCGTCGAGTGCTCCCTAAAAGATAGTTGTGAGTTTTTTTCTCAGCCAGCTGGAAGGAGAAACCTGATCTCAGCAGCAGCAACTTAAGGCAGCACCTACACTCCTCACCTTTAGACCATACGGTCCTCACAAGTCACCGACCAGCTGCTCCGCCTCCTCAACCATCAGCTGTGACCTGCAGTCTGCACCTCCACAGATAGTGGCTAAAATAGCATCTAGTAAAGCATCGCTGGTTCAAACACCTCACATTCAACACCGGTAAAAGCTAAGAAACCCATTTCAGAATTTACACTAAAAAAAGAACTTTAAGGGGCAAAACGTGTTTTAGATTTAGGTCAGACTGAATCCGGCTGAGCGTGGGGCTGGAACTGTGGGTAAATACCAACATTTAGTGAAGGAGGTGATTTATCAGAAAACACACTCACACACGTGTCCAGATTTGAGATCCCTTGCAGTTTAAAATGTTCTAATGTGCGGTCAGGTCCAGATTCTAATAAGTACTTGACCCACCCTAACAAAGGTCTAGAGGGAAAGACACAACCTGTCCCACAACATCAGCAGGTGAGGCCAGGATTGTCTGCTGAGGACCAACTGGACTTGTCTTTGGTATCGAGCTGTGCAATAACCAGAGGCTTCATGTGTTAAAACACTGGTCACATGATTGTACACATGCATGTCGTTTCTGTCAGCCGTGAGAGTAGACGTCCTTTTCTGTGTTCACACCTAAACTCAACACATCCTGTAAATCTATACAACAGCAAGGAGCCAACCTCTCTGCTCCCCTTCCCTGAAAAATATGCATATTTATATATATTTATATATCACTCCCCACAGACAACAACCCCCCTCCCCCTTTGGAAAGCAAGCATGAAACAGGTTCTACAAGTAAATACAGGAGAAAGAAAGCAAACCCCTCCCAATGCTTTGTCCCCAAAAACAACCTCGCAGCGTGTCAGCACATCCATGTCAGTTTCAGTTCAGGCAGGATCTGTGGCGTCAAGTCTTAGTGGCTTCACAGCCGAGGTATGTAGTGTGGCTCCCCCCCTCTGGGAGAGTCTGATGAGGTATTTCTTTTTTCAAACAGTCATGTAGTCTTGTGCATTCTTCACATGTGAATCCTCCTAAAATCAACAGTGATTCCTTGCAGTTGTCACTTTGCTTCCTGAGAGAGACGCCCCCCCTTCCCTCACTCACACACACACACACACACACACACACACACACACACACTCACACGCACACGCACGCACGCACGCACACACACACACACACACACACACACACACACACACACTGGAACAGCGGGGCTAGCATGAGGTCTGGGGACTATGAGCTAATGAAGACGCCATCCCACTGGACGTTCAGCTCCGAGGCTGTGAGGATGCAGACGAAACGGGGAACAAAGGTTTGAGTTTGATGTCGCTGGGTTTAGGACGGCCTCAGCGTCACCTGCTCTGGTGCTAATGGGCTTGTTGGTAGTGGTGAAGAGCTGCTGTTCCCTCCAACTTTGTGCGCTAACTCCTTGAAGACAGCTTGTGCAGACCTGCGAGTAACTATTACAGGTTTGTATCGGACTCTATGTGATCTTGACTGAGGGTAGTTATTATGAGGTATTCAATCTGCTGATCCACAGCATCTCATCATGCACCAGTTTGAGTTCAGCGCGAGGTTACAGTGTGTTAAACCGACCTGGAGGCCTATTGCTGTGAGCTCTAAAGGTCAGGTTCTACTGGTGAGACAAACCAGACTTCCCCCGATTGCAACTAGTTCAAAATGAATACAAAAATAAAGTTGATTCAGGTTAAATATTCTACAGCTCCTGAGGTGAAGACACCACTGCAGGTTACTTGATTTGAGGTATGTAAAAAGAGGAAAAACAAAATCAAACACAAATCAAAAAAAGACGACAAAATGGCAACAAACAAACAAAATGTCCTAAGATCAAACTTTTCAAGTTCAGTTGTGAATTCACCTGTCAGTGGGATTTGGCTGAGCTGATTGTGTTGAGCATGTACACTAAGATTAACAAGTGTATGTGTGAGAGACTGTGTGTGTTCTATGCATAGCAGAAAGTGTGTGTGTGTGTGTGTGTGCGCGTGTGTGTGTTCTCGATTAGGACAGCCAAAGGGTCGACAGGGTTGTTGAGGTATTTGTTGTGCAACAGTTTCTTATTGGTTTCTCTTTGTACTGTATGTTCATGCTGGGACCCCTCAGAGGAACAGAGCCCTGGGGGGCCAGCACGAAGCATGAATTAGGGTGACCCGCTGGGGGCTGGCTCAGCTGAGCCAGACGCCTTGGAGGAGGAGGCAGAGGAGGATGTGGGGCTCAGGGTCTGAGCCTGGGGTGCAGAGAAACCAAAGCTTGAGCTGGTCCCAGCAGGGGAGGCTGAGGCAGCAGCAGCTGACATGGTGGGGCCCAGGTTCCCAGCAGCCTTCTGGGCAAACAGGGTTCCTAAAGGGGCATGACGACTTGTTAATGTTCTATCATCAAGGTAAAAGGTCCATTTACAGGTTCTGGTCTGGCCTCATACACACCTGAGTAGGTGGTCCCATTCACCTCCACTGAGACAGTGATGCTGGCGTTCCCATTGGTGGAGATGCTCAGAGACATGTCCTGCTGCTTCTCATCTACACACACACACACACGCACGCTTCTCAGTAACAAGACACAAAGGTTAAAGTATTTTCAACACCTTGGCAACACTGACCTCTGGTGGTGATGGTAGGAGCTCCCAGGCGCAGGTTCATGGGCATCTGGGAGGCCATGGCCAGCAGGTTCTGTTGGAAAGCCTGCTGCATGAAGCGCTGCTGCTCCTCGGCCAGGCGAGCCATCTTCCTCTCGGGACCCTCTCCTCCACCCGTCTCTAGCTTTTCCCTCAGCTGCTCCAGGGTGGCGGCCCTGGCCAAACCTGCAACCTGTTGCTGACCCAAGGACAGCGCCATGGGAGGCCTGGATGTCATGATGGAAGGAGTCAGGTCATCTGGAAGAAAAACCCAAGAATATAAAAACTTGTGAAGGTTCTTAAAAAATGATAATGACTGATGGGTCAAACATGTCTTTGACACAGGATAAAGTCACAACGTGACATACTGGTTATGCTATTTTTCTCTAGGATTAGGGAATACATGAGCGCAGATTAAAATGTCACCACTTTTACCAAATGATGGGCTGTTCTGAGCCATTCTGGGTAAACCCTCACAACTCATCGTAAGAAACAACCCCTCATTCAGACCAAACCACCAACGCTGTTGGGGTCAACAGCAGAGTCACATTACAACCAAAGTCAAAGCCACACCAGACAACACAGCGGTGTAATGACAGTGATCAACAGGACTCTCCTGATGTGGACTACAGGCTTTAAAGTCCACCAAAGTCCTCCCCACTGTGGGAGTCGTGTTATTTCTCAGTAAAATGGTGAGAGCTTTGGAGGCCCTCAGGCAGAACTGTTTCACTCTAAACAACTGGATGGACCACCCCGACATGCTCCGACACAGCCAAATAAAAACTCACTGACTGTGTAGACAGAGGAAGACAGATGGCATGCTCTCATTTTAATCAGCACTAGGTTCATTTACCGTAAATCCTCTAATACAGGGCCGGGCCTGTATTTGACTCAAGCTCATCAAGCCCCAGGCCTTTATTGGAAGGAGGACCAGAATTAGAGGCAGGCCTCAATTTCTATTTGAGCAAAATGAACTAATGGTGCACTGGAGTTTTTAACAATTAAAATTGCGCCCACATTTTCAAAGTTAAACACATTTCTTTTAACAACGGTAGTTTCTGCTTCAGCCCTCTCCTCCCTCCCCTGTGCAGCGGCCGCAAACTCACTGATGCGCCTGCAGCCTCTCAGAGTTCCTGCTGCTCTAAACATTAAAATAATTATTTCATTTTCTGTTCCTCACTTCTGATTACCTTCAATGGTGTCTGTTTGTTGCAACCACCAGGTACAAAAACTAACTTGTTTTTATTTGACTATTTTTCTGTCCTGTCTGTTTATTATCTTCCTGCATCTCCTCTCAATCCTAAAGAAAAACTGCTACCTGGGTTCATATATATTCACCTTATGAGTTACCTTTGAACTGCAGTTCTAAAAGATCTACCGACTGCAAAAACAGCGGAGTGAGCGCTGCTCGCTGGCCGTATCAGTGGTGCTTCACGGAGGACAAAACAGGTGATGCGCCCCGCTCCACAGCAGCGAAACGCATCAGGCGCGAATAAAAGAATAAAAGACAGAAAACATAAAAGGAAATGAGCCGACATGAACAATAGCGTGTTAAATTAGTTTTTGAGGCGGCGACACCTGATTTGATAATGTTACTGTGGCCGTGCTCAGGACGCAGATGTCTGGAGCACGTCAACAATCAGAGCTTTGCATGTGCAAGCTGGTTAAGGTTAGGATGGGGGCGGGGGAATGTTAAATTGCAAGAGGGTAAACGTCACAATTTGGTTAAATGTCCGTTTTACGGCGGGTGTCAGTACCGACTCTCTGGCACAGCGTGTCGCCTCACGACGCGCAGGAGCTTGTCACCTGCTGACAGCAGGCTGCTGTCTTTTCCGAGGACTGCATCTTGCCGGTCATTATCACGTGACAGCGACTAGTCGATGACAGGCATAAAAAGTCACTATAGAGCGGTGAAGTCGACTAGTGACTAGTTCATACAACCCCTGCTACTGCTCCCCAGAGTGTTCTGCAGCATAATCAGCACATTCTCTTTGAACCTGATATCAAATTTTCGCCTCCTCTTCGTCTCCGCACGGTTAAAGTTACCCTCGCGGTCTATCACTGGCAAATCAAAAGTGAGACGGATGACACAACCGCCCCCGTACTTGCTTGTTACCACATTCCACCTGGCCACAATAAAAAAACGGCCATTATTCACCTCCGCCGACACCGGCCAAAATATGATACCCGGCAGTTAATTAAATACAGGCTAATATTAGAGGATTTACGGTATTTTGCCTAAAATGAGCCACAGCTAACCTACAGCAGCTTCAAACCCTTCATTTCCTAATCCCAAAACCCAATCTGGACGAGGTAGGCGGTTTGTGAGTCGAAAGCCTGGTTCATCTGTCAGCCGTCACTTCACATAGAGGCCGGCAGATATTTTAAATTTTTTCTATATTGGCCGAAATTTTTAAAAGCTGATAAAATATATCTAAATAATCAGGCACCTGTATGGCTAACTGCCACCACTACTAGACTGAAGAAAGGACGCAAAGGACCCCAATACACTATTCTTTTTTATGTTTCGAGTCGAAGTTCAATAAATAATAAGAGATTTATTGACTTATTTAATTCATACTGCATACAGTGAGTTCAGTTGTCTTTCTCAACCAATGTGCTGCTAAAACGTATGTACGCACACACACACACACACACACACACACACACACACACACATATATATATATATATGTATATATGTATATATACATATATACATATATATATATATATATATATATATATGTGTGTATATATATATATATATATGTATATATGTATATATACATATATATATATATACACACATATATATATATATATATATATATATATATATATATATATATATATATATACATATATATATATATATATAGTATGAAGGACTCTTTAATATATCAGAAATGATCATTGTGTATATTGAGAAGGTTATTATGGATTATTTGGAATGTTTTTAATAGAAACAACAGATTTTTAGATATTTTGAATATATATCTTTGTAAAAACTGTTTAAAAAGCCTGCCCTAAGCGGTGTGCAAATGTGCTCCTGCAGCACACCCCTTCATATGTGGAACCATCAACTGACTGACAGATGGTACAAACAATGCTTTTGTGTTATTTCCAGCAACAAAAATGATATTAAACATTGTTTCTCTCCCTGTCATTTTCTCTTTAACACTCATAACATTGGTAGGCTACAAAGCACACCCTGTTGTAACATTTGGGGTGGCACTGACCATCGGAGTCAAAAGTACTCATGTTGTTGTGCCTTTGGAGTGAAAGAGTGAAGGTTATAGATGGGGCAGAAGTGGACTGGCAATCTGAGTTCTGGAGAATCCAAGAACGACCGGTGCTCTACTCCAAGCCGGTGGATGAATGCACTCCCCACCCCCCTCTCGAGTTGGAAATCCCCGTCGGAGATCGAGCTGACTGCAGCAGCGATCAGACTCCTCCAACCCGCTCGGAGTTTGCTAGTGATCTATATTTCTGTTTGGATATATGTCCAGCTCCATCCTCCTGCCTGTTGGAGCATCTAACCATTGAACCACTGGCTGTTCAGGTGCTGCTGCTGTCATTGCGGGAACGTGCAGTGTTGGATACATCGTCTCTTTTTGTGTCTCCTCCGTGCTGACGGGGCTGAATGCGCTGTGCGTCTCACGGCAGTGATGCACCTTTGGCGCAAAATGCAGACCTTCGTGGAGCGCGTGTGCAACGTATCGGGAGTGGCTGCGCTGGGCACGGACTGTGGATGGCTGATGTTGGAGGGACAGATTTTTTTTTTTTAGAACTCGGAGATTTTGACTAATAAATGACACGAAAAACTACCACTGCGCACCGCCTAGAAAAAAAGTATTTAAAAAGGTATGCCGAGAGGTCACAGAGTTTGAAGTGGCGGTGCATGTTGCTGTAAACCGAACCCACTTAAAGCACAGCTTTCAGTCCATATTCAGACTTTCAGTCCATATATTCAGACTTCGATCAATATATTCAGACTTCGGTCAGTATGTTCAGACTTCGGTCAATATGTTCAGACTTTCAGTCCATATTCAGACTTCGGTCCATATATTCAGACTTCGATCAATATATTCAGACTTCGATCAATATATTCAGACTTCGGTCAATATGTTCAGACTTTCAGTCCATATTCAGACTTTCAGTCCATATATTCAGACTTCGGTCAATATATTCAGACTTTCAGTCCATATATTCAGACTTTCAGTCCATATATTCAGACTTCGGTCAATATATTCAGACTTTCAGTCCATATATTCAGACTTTCAGTCCATATATTCAGACTTTCAGTCCATATATTCAGACTTTCAGTCCATATATTCAGACTTCGGTCAATATATTCAGACTTTCAGTCCATATATTCAGACTTTCAGTCCATATATTCAGACTTCGGTCCATATATTCAGACTTTCAGTCCATATATTCAGACTTTCAGTCCATATATTCAGACTTTCAGTCCATATATTCAGACTTTCAGTCCATATATTCAGACTTCGGTCCATATATTCAGACTTCGATCCATATATTCAGACTTTCAGTCCATATATTCAGACTTTCAGTCCATATATTCAGACTTTCAGTCCATATATTCAGACTTTCAGTCCATATATTCAGACTTCGGTCAATATATTCAGACTTTCAGTCCATATATTCAGACTTTCAGTCCATATATTCAGACTTCGGTCAATATATTCAGACTTTCAGTCCATATATTCAGACTTTCAGTCATATATTCAGACTTCGGTCCATATATTCAGACTTCGGTCCATATATTCAGACTTCGGTCAATATGTTCAGACTTTCAGTCCATATATTCAGACTTTCAGTCATATATTCCGACTTCGGTCAATATATTCAGACTTCGGTCAATATGTTCAGACTTTCAGTCCATATATTCTGACTTTCAGTCCATATATTCAGACTTCCAGTCCATATATTCAGACTTTGGTCAATATATTCAGACTGCGGTCAATATATTCAGACTGCGGTCAATATGTTCAGACTTCACCCAGGAAGCACACACACACACACACACACACACACACACACACACACACACACACACACACACACACACACACACACACACACACATATATAGTATATATACATATATGTGTATATATATACATATACACACACACACACACACACACACACATATATATATATATATATATATATATATATATATATATATATATATATATTAGAGGTGGGAAAAATGATCGATTCTAAGATGCATCGCGATTCAGCCGTGCATGATTCCGCATCGATACAGCAACTTGACATAATGAGATTTTCTCCCTATGTCTATGTCGCGAGTTGTCAACCCGCGGCTCTGGAGCCGCATGCGGCTCTTCCATCCATCTGATGCGGCTCTCTGTGCTTGTAAAATAATGAGTGGCTATTTAAATAAAATGCTTTATATTTTACTGCATTAATATTTCATCTGTATGCCAATTGTAAATGTAAAGACTGTCTGCATAAACCTGAACAGTTCCAACCCGGTCTTACTGTGAGACCGGGTTGACGCATCACGCTTGTGCGTAATCATATAGGCGCTTTCTGAGCTGAAGAGGATGTGAGATTCTGGGATTCTCCTCAGACAGGCTCCTGGATGTGTCGCCACGTTGGAGACAGGAACAAGCACTATTCAGCCAAAGTTTCATAATCAGGGAACATTTTCTAAGTGACAAGTCTCGCTTCAGTGGGAGGAATCTTCCTGCATGCGCTCTGGTTCTGCAACGTGCTCCAAGCCCCTCTCCACATCTTCAGCTCGCTGTGGACCTTATGTAGTACGCGCTGACAGCGAGCTGCGCTGAGCAGTGTCCAGCTCAGATGTTCAGATGGGAATCTTTTCTTGAGTGATTTAGCTACATCTGCGATGTGCGAAACGAATAAAGTGTCAGTTCGTCTGCATGTGTCGGGGTAATTCTTTCTATTCTTTCTCCGTCAAAATAAACGGTCAAATACGGGAACTATCCGGTCAACACAAGCCCTGCTTTTAACTGTTCTGTTTTCTTGTGAAAATAGATCAAATTAAACTTGATTAACACCAGAGCCAGGCGCACTGCGCCGTTACCTCCATCACTGTAAATGAGGGAAAAACAAAATGATCGGATCCTTTTCTGACCTTCCCCACCTACAAAGTTTAATTACAACAATCAAACGTGACAGAGCCTGGATTTGTATTCTGAACAGTCTAAACATGTTTTAAAAAGAAACGTATGACAAAAGTGGCACCTGCTCAGTAAAACCACCAACAGGGTGAAAAATGTCAAAATATTGTAGGCAGAGACGGGCTACAACTTCTGGATCCACTTTATATAAATCATTTTATTGATTTTCGTCTTCTGAAAGATAACTTTGACGTACACGAGAGACCGGTACTGGCTGCTGTCACCTGTTGTGAGCAGCTCTCTGCTGTCTGAGGGTAGGCCCCACCCACAACGCCGCGGCTGCTGTGGCTCCCAGTGTTTTCTTTACTGTGGGAAACGGGTAATAATGGCTCTTTGATGGGAACAGGTTGCCGACCCCTGGTTTATGTCTATGCGAGGACAATAAAGTTTTGAGGTTTTACAACTACTTCTGGGGGCAGAGTTGCAATGACATGCGCACTGCGTTGCCCTAGCGCCAATTTAAAACAGAAAAGGCGGACAGGGATACAGGGCCAACATTACCAGTAATCAAAGATGTACCCGTTACATTTAAATCGGATGTCTGGGCTAATTTCGGTTTTGGGATCCTGGATATGAAAGAATCACTTAACACAGTATTTGATTACTATTTTTAAGTTCAGTAATATTCTATCTTAAAGCTGCTCTACCGAAAACATTATTTCTTATATTATTTAAGTAATTATAGGCAGCACACTTTAAACATTATTGCTCACTATAGTGAATAGATGAATTTTCTGTTTTTCAGGGATTTCGAAATCAAAAAGAAATTGAAAACTATTCTACTGCTTTTATTAAGTAATGAAAATTTGAAGAAGTGTGGAGAATCGTGATGCATTTCAGACTCAAATCGAATCGTTAGGCAGATAATCGGAATCGGATCGAATCGTGAGGCAGGTAGAGATGCACACCACAAATATATATACATATATATATATATATACATATATATATATATATATATACATATATATATATATATATATATATATATAGTTGTAAAAAATATAATATAATGGTTCTACTGAGTGTCCCGTTATTTTTAAAACTCAGATTTTTCTCTGATAGAGTGATTGGAACAGATACTTCTTTGTCACAAAAAACATTCATGAAGTTTGGTTCTTTAATGTCTTTATTATGGGTTATCAGAGAAAAGTGATCACATTTGCTGGGTCACAAATATACATGCAGCAACATGAACTAGCAATTTTGGTGACTTAGAAACGTGTCAGTGAACTGAGCTTCATAGCATGGCCTCTTAACTTCTTGTGAGTGATTATGAGTGACTACAGCTGGTGACTTCTCTTAGGCCAGGTAAATAGGGCTCATTGAATACAAACGCCCACAAACGCTACAATGGGAAAGTCAAAGGAGCTCAGCATGGATCTGAAAAAGCGAATTATTGACTTGAACAAGTCAGGAAAGTCACTTGGGGCCATTTCAAAGCAGCTGCAGGTCCCAAGAGCAACAGTGCAAACAATTGTTTGTAAGTATAAGGTGCATGGCACTGTTTCATCACTGCCAAGATCAGGAAGAAAACGCAAGCTATCACCTGCTGCTGAGAGAAAATTGGTCAGGAGGGTAAAGAGTGAACCAAGAATCACCAAAAAGCAGATCTGCCAAGAATTAGAAACTGCTGGAACACAGGTGTCATTGTCCACAGTCAAATGTGTTTTGCATCTCCATGGACTGAGAGGCTGCCGTGCAAGAAGGAAGCCCTTGCTCCAAAAGCGGCACCTTAAGGCTCGACTGAAGTTTGCTGCTGATCACATGGACAAAGATAAGACCTTCTGGAGGAAAGTTCTGTGGTCAGACGAAACAAAAATCGAGCTTTTTGGCCACAATGCCCAGCAATATGTTTGGAGGAGAAAAGGTGAGGCATTTAACCCCAAGAACACCATGCCTACAATCAAGCATGGTGGTGGGAATATTATGCTGTGGGGCTGTTTTGCTGCCAATGGAACTGGTGCTTTACAGAGAGTAAATGGGATAATGAAGAAGGAGGATTACCTTCACATTCTTCAACATAACCTAAAATCATCAGCACGAAGGTTGGGTCTTGGGCGCAGTTGGGTGTTCCAACAGGACAATGACCCCAAACACACATCAAAAGTGGTAAAGGAATGGCTAAATCAGGCTAGAATAAGGGTTTTAGAATGGCCTTCCCAAAGTCCTGACTTAAACCCCATTGAAAACATGTGGACAGTGCTGAAGAAACAAGTCCATGTCAGAAAGCCATCAAATTTAACTGAACTTCACCAATTCTGTCAAGAGGAGTGATCAAAGATTCAACCAGAAGCTTGCCAGAAGCTTGTGGATGGCTACCAAAAGCGCCTGATTGAAGTGAAAATGGCTAAGGGACATGTAACCAAATATTAGCACTGCTGTATGTATATTTGTGACCCAGCAAATGTGATCACTTTTCTCTGTTAACCCATAATAAAGACATTAAAGAACCGAACTTCATGAATGTTTTTTGTGACAAAGAAGTATCTGTTCCAATCACTCTATCAGAGAAAAATCAGAGTTTTAGAAATAACGGGACACTCAGTAGAGCCATTATATTATATTTTTTACAAGTGTATGTAAACTTCTGACCACAACTGTATATATATATATATATATATATATATATATATATATATATATATATATATATATATATATATATATAGATATACACATATAAAACGGGCGATATATATGTATATCGGCTTTAGATATGGGCCATTGGTCGGCCTCTACTTCATACAACACTGTGTGAGCTCCAGAGGTGGCACACTGCACGGCCCAAGATGTCAGTGAGTCAAACTGTGCCACGCCTCACGTCAGCAGGACACACCAACGTCACCAAAAATGTCCCCCCCAGCCACAGTTACATCTCATTTTAGTTAAATTGGAGAAGTGTGAGACGACTTAGGGAATAAAATAAGGATAAATTAAACACAAATTGAGACTCCATTAAAGCATAAACTGACTACAGCTAAAATATCGTCTTTAACTAGTAGCAGCAGCTTTACTGATAAGTTACTGTAGTTTTTCAGTCCAACAACAGGAGGCAGTGTTTCTCCACGCATGTGTGACTTAAGAGTTTGCTAAGCAGCTAGTTTCATAAATAAGTTTTAAACCAAAATATACATCTATTTAGTCTCAACAGTGACACATCGACATCTAAAACATGTTTTCTTTAAAGCCTACAGGAGATATTAAACATTGGGATCTACTATACCACACAGTTTCAGAAAAACAATTAAAAAACAGAAGAATTCTGTTGCTTTTCTGAGGCTGAAAGTGCTTACCCTTCTTCAGAGAGGGCCCTGGCGAGGCCTGCAGACCATTGAGGCCCACTGAGGTCACTGCGTTCAGGTTGGACAGGTGCATCTTGGGAGGAGACAGGATGTGGGGAGCTGTGCCGGGAGAGGGAGAGAAGCGGAAGAGGCTGCTGCTGTAGCTGGGGCGACGGCCCTCACGTCGATTACTGTCGATGGCGGCTTGCAGCTCACCAGGGGAGCTCAGACCTTTCCTCTCGCACTCATACGGATACAGGTACTTCATGTATCTAAAAGGAACACAGACTATTAGAATTAATGCCACGATGCAAACGTACAGGTAGAGCTTCAGCTGACCACTGGTGATCACTTAATGCAATAAATAAAAACAAATATATCAAAAGCAGTTGCCTTGTGATAGAAAATGACACTCACACCAGTAAAAATACAACTAGACACATAAATCTGCAAATATGAAACGTCTGTGTCTTCTAATGTTGTAATCTAAAACAAATACAGAAACCTGTTCCCAGAACACTTTACTTGTTGATCAGATTTAATGAAAACTTTCCTGCACACCTGCTGATCCTTCCTTACTGCCTTCATGCTGCTATCTCTACCAATGCTGCCTTTCTCTGCATCCTCTATTACCCTTTCTTATTAATTTTTGTCTAAATTTTTGTTAAAAATTGTATTCAAATTTTCCTTTTTTAATGACGATTTTAAAATCATTTACATACATACTTTTTATTTTAATGTTTTGCTTTTGTGAAGAACCTCGTGATTTTTATTATGAGAGGTTCTATATAAAAAAAAAGTTTCTTCTTCTCCATCGTGTTCCTGATGAGGTCTTACGTCAGTCTGGGCTGAACTGACCAGTTAGCCGGACCCCGTCACAGCAGCGTGTTTGCACAGTCATAGCTCTACCATGTTTTCCATCTCACAAATGAATGCACTGTATTATGCATGCTGTCTGCATAATGGTAAAATACCAGTCCTCAGGATCAATAAGAAGCAGGAGCAGCAGCATCTATTAGACGGGGCTAGCAGAGCGATGCTACACAACAGGCCGGCCACATTAAAAATACATGTTAGCTCATCTGAAGTCTCTGCTGCTGGAGCAGATAGAGAGGTGTCACCTCCACTGAAGGCTCTTCATCAGGAGAACGGGAGATTTAGTCGTGGCTAAACACACAAGCTGTCAGTCAAACCCCACCTTAGTCATTGTGCACCCTGACCCAAATCACATCAATACATCAGGAGGATCAATGGGGTGTGTGTGTGTGCATGCGTGCGTGTGCGTGTGTGTGTGTGTGTGTGTGTGTGTGTGTGTGTGTGTTGTAATGCATGGCAGGTCTGAGAAGTGAGGAGGGAGGGTGTCTTGTTAAAGAAAACAAACCCACATGTATATGAACACAAAGGGAGGAGCTGATATTGACCTTTGTGCTCTCACACACACACACACACACACACACACACACACACACACACACACACACACACACACACACACACACACACACACACACACACACACACACACACACACACACACACACACACACACACACACACACACACACACACACACACACACACTTAAATATTCCTCAAAATGTTAGCGGAGTGTGTATTTCTACAGCTAAACCTGGGTCACTAAAACTGCAGATCTGTGCAAAAACACACACCTCACACTTGTGAACAGCTTCATGCCACACACACATGTAGTACATAGGGAAGCAGCTTTAATCCAGTTTAAAGGTTACTCCCTGAGCTGGTACCAGTATCATCGTGTTTTCTTACTGTGTGCGCAGCGTGAAAGCAGCACTGGTGATGGATGTGGGCAGATTGAGTCCCTTTGTGATCTCTCTCCAGATCTTCTTATTGATGACTTCCACCAGGCCACCTTTCTCCGTCACCAGCTTATACAGCATATACAGGTCCAGAACCTGCTTAGCCATGATGGGGATTCGATTCACTGGGGTTCCTGAGCAAATGAAAACAAGATTCATCAACATGCTATCAGCTTAGTATTGTTTAATGCACATATGTTCTGGGCGTGGTGTAGGGTGGTGATGTCTTGATTTATGACAGAACAAGAACGGTGGCACATTAGTTCTTTCACTAATCAATACTGAAACTCCAGGGATTATTTTGTGACCTCTACATCCTGATCTAAGCGCTGCTGGGATGGTGGCGAGGTTAGGGTGGCCAGCCGCCCGCCTGCACACCCATTAAATTTGGCTCGAAAACAAATTAGCCCAGTTAAGGCAATCTGGCTTGACCTGGAAATGGAGATTCAGCAACAACAAAGCAAAGCTGCTCTGGACTTTTGATATAGATGCATTAATCTTGTCAACAGATTATCTGCAGTCAAGCTCGTAGGAAGTGAAAGAGGTGGCAGAGCAGTGTGGAGGGAGGGGTAGGGGGGTGTTCCCAAGTGCATCAGAATCAAAAAGTGCAACGAGCATTAGAGTAAGCATGAAACGGGAGGAGGGGACTGGCTACTAATCCACAGTGAGGCAGGAGGGGGGGCTCCAGGATAGGCCAATATAATGAAGCTCATTTAGAGGATTGTACTGAGTAAATCCACACCCCTCTGCGTTAGCACTGCTGGACCCAGAGTCCAGGAGTCATACAGATTTACCCTCATAGTTAATGCCGCCCAATCCTCCAGCCCCTGCACAGGCTGCTTGCTCTTAACCTGGACTCATTAATGGCTTTATAAAACAGCAGCGTGATCAGGACATGAAGATTAGCCCTGATTCATTTGCTTAAGTTAGTAACATGCCTCTAAGCTGTGAGCAGGGGGCCTGGGGTGAGCACATGGTCTTGTGGAGAGTAGAGATCAGGAGGTGTGATGGAGACTGCCAAAGCACCGTGGCTTTGACCTTCTCACATTCCTCACTTAGGAACAGGAGGGGGCTGGTCAGCAGGGAAATAACAGTTTTCCAACTGCTCTGTTCATTAACAATCACAATATGTCAGAAACTATGTTTATGTTTATGTGTTTAGTAGACGCTTTTGTCCAAAGCGACTTACAAGTGATAATCGGCATGTTGCCCTTGTGGCTAACAACAACAACAACAACAACAACCTGACATCAGTCATGGAGAGGAGGGAACAAGGAGCGGACGGTAGAGAGGGGGGACGGGTGCAGGGAGGGTGCTAGTTAAGAAGATGCTCTCTGAAGAGCAGGGTCTTCAGGAGTTTCTTGAAAATTGAAAAGGAAGCCGCAGTTCTGGTAGAGCTTGGTAGGTCATTCCACATTTGTGGAACGATGCATGAGAAGAGTCTGGATTGTCCTGAGCGTGGTGTAGGCACTGCTAGCCGACGATCCTGTGATGACCGGAGCGGCCGGGCCGAGACGTAAGCCTTTGCAAGAGGATTCAGGTAGATGGGAGCCGTACCGTCTCGGACTTTGTATGCTAGTGTTAGCAATTTGAATTTGATGCGTGCTGCTAGCGGTAGCCAGTGGAGCTCAATGAACAGAGGGGTGACGTGTGCTCTTTTTGGCTGATTGAAGACCAGACGCGCCTCTGCGTTCTGGACCATTTGAAGAGGTCTCACAGTACAGCCTGGAAGACCAGTTAGAAGGACATTGCAGTAATCGAGGCGAGAGATGACAGTAGATTGCACCAGGAGCTGGGTGGCATGTTGTGTTAGGTATGGTCTGATCTTTCGTATGTTGTACAGCGCAAAGCGGCATGAATGAGCAACAGAGGCAACATGATCTTTAAAGGTCAGGTGTTTATCAATCACAACACCCAGATTTCGAACTGCCTTTGAAGGAGCCAGAGATAGGAAGTCATTTTGGATTGAGATATTGTGCTGTATGGATGGTTTTGCTGGGATAACAAGTAGTTCAGTTTTAGAGAAGTTAAGTTGGAGATGGTGGGATTTCATCCATTTTGATATGTCAGAGAGACAGTTTGATATTCGTGCAGAGACAGTGTGGTCGTCCAGTGGAAACTAGAAAGTCACTGGGAAGAGAAGAAGTCAAATATCTGCACTTTAGTGACGATTTTTGTTTATTGCCTATTTCCTATCCTGTAAAATGATGAAGGGATAAATCAGACATTTTCAAACGTGGTTCTGTGTAAAAAAAAAAAGCTTATTATCTCACCCATTGCAGATAACGGCTTCTTTATCAGTCACATGTCAGAGCAATAGTGTTAATGTCCTACAGGACTGATGAGCTAACAGCTAGTCCATGCACAGCCCACATGTGGTACAAATCGTTACACTTCTAGATTATGTGATTCTTTACACCAATGTTCCCCAACCTTGGTCCTCAGGGCCAGCTGTCCTACACGTTTTCCATGTCTCTGCTTCAGCACACCTGATTTACATATTTGCACTGCACTGATGAAAGACGTCATCTGGCATCACAATCTGCACCTACAGTGGACCAAAACTGGATATGCAGAAATGACCTGGAAAGGATGTCGCTATGATGTGCCTTTGAGTAGTGAGCAACAATATTTTCTATGTTATTTCTTGTACCTGTTTTAGACGTGCCAAAAAGTTACCCAAACCAAGGTCCACGTTTCCCGTTATACTGACATCCAAGTCAGCTCATATTTAGACGTCCAAATAATCAACCTGGTTTGCACATCCATGTAATGTTGATTGTGTGTTGGGATAGCTATAAATATATTATAGAGATAAAAAAAAATAATAAATAAAATGTATATACACACACACACACACACACACACACACACACACACACACACACACACACACACACAGTGGTTCACTCACATTTGTCTAAAAACTTCCACCAATAACACATTTTGGACTGTAAGCAACTGCTGTCGGTCTCGTGGAACCCCCACACTTCCTCACACCCATGGGTCCTCCATTCATTACACACTCATGTATTTATCAAAAGAACACCACTGGTGTGAGAGGTTCTTCACTCAACAGTTTCAGAGAGGGAGCCGGCTGCTGCCACTTATTTATTTAACTTATGTTTTTGGAGGATAAAACCGCTTGAGATGAGACATCTCCTTTTCGAGGGAGTCCTCCTTTAGTACAACAGAGAAAATTAGGACAGCAAGTGACTCACAACAAATACCCTTTTGCACATATATAAATACATAAAAGAAGTAGAAAATAATCATAATACAATATAAAATCATTTAAAAAGATTACTAAAAATAAACAAACTAAACCACAAACAAAAACAATAACATAACATTCTTCATATACATTCTCACTCCCACAATGCACTCTGATTCTATTTTAAAGTAATTCAGGTTGTGTTTCTTTCTTACCAGTGGTAAATTAGGTGCAGCACATTATCAATTATAAACAACTACAATTAGGTAAAATGTGTACATAAACAGAGTTCTTAAATAAACGAAAATATGTAATTGATCTTATCTCAACAGGGAGCTTATTCCAGTCATATGGAGCTTTAACTCTAAAAGCAAGTCTCCCAATTTCCTTCTTAAATGGAGGAACAACAAAAGAGATCGGAGTCTTTCCTTTAAAAGAAGCCAGTTCAAACTTTCAAATATAGTGCAGTGATGAGTTTTAAAAGGACAACGCAGCACAAAACGACAAATACTGTTGTAAACAACATCTAGTGGATGGAGACAAGATGCAGTGGTATTTTGGTAAATTATATCTGTGTAATTGAGGATTGGAAACAATAGTTGAGTTGCAATAAGATTTCTCACTCTAAAATCAAAGCAGTTCATTGATTGATGTAACGTTTTAAGTTGATAATTAACCTTACTAGTGACTGACTGAATGTGAGCTTTAAAAGAAAGATCAGACTCAAACCAAACTCCTAAATATTTAACTTTGTCAACACATTTTAGATGTGAAGAGTCCAAAAAGTGTAAGTTGAGAGTTCCATTAATGACTGGAGCAGACTTATGTCTCCAAAAAAGAAGTGCATAAGATTTAGATTTGTTAAGGATAAGTCTGTTGTTAAGCCAGAGCTGTAAGCTATCAAAATTAGACTGAAGGCACTCTTGAATTTCCAGTGTGGTGGACTTAGAACAATATAATATGGTATCATCAGCGTACAGATGCACAGCACACGTGGAACAACATAGAGGACAAACTACCAGAGTCCCAAAAAGAAAAACATCATTTAACACTAGAACTCCCAAGGCAGTCATTTGGACTGTTTTCATATTTTGATATGTGATAACTTTCGTCAGATGGATCTCATGTGGTCCTGGCTTCCTGGCTTTTCCTATTTTTGTGTGTCCTTTATTTTTGTGTTATAATTTCCATAAAATAATGTATCAAAATAGAGCTATTGCTGTTTTTGTCTTTGTCTCCCGCAAGCCGTCTATCTGACAGCTCTATTGTTTACATGGTAAAGTTTTCCCGCGGATGACAGGCAGCGCCACCGTTGCTAAGCAACCAACTTTCCAACTCCCGTACGCTCACTCTCCGTTCAAGCTCCATGTGAAATAGCTGTTAAACCAACTTTTAGAAGATTGTTCTTAGTGAAACAAGCATGAGAAATGATGCTGCTTCAGACGGAGAGGGGAAAGCTGATAAAAACTGGTCAGTAGGAAGCGACAGATGCTCTGACAGCAACGCGGAAGACGATCTGGGACTCCAAGCCCCACCCACGGAAAGGAGTCGTGTCGGTCACCCAGCAAACAATAGAGAGACTTCTTTTCAAGGTTTGGATTAAAATTATATTTTCTTACCATATTATTAGGTTCACACATCCATAAAGAGTTCAATACAGTTTTTCTCAAATGCTAAAACACAAATGCCAATCCTCTAAACCAAATGACCAGTTGTCTAGACACATTTATTTAATCTAGCCATCATTTCCCAATATCATAAACACAGTTCACATGAAGGCACAATTCACATAACACAATCCTCCGTGCTACCTGATTGACTGTTGTTCTGAACAACTGTGCGCTTTCACATTTTCAGAGGATATTACAGTTGAATGCGATGGCCAGGCCTCATGAGTACCTCCTCCTGGATGAGGCTGGC